GAAAACCAGGATCAACAACCTGCCTTCAGGGCTTGGTTAGAAAACTCCAGGAGTGCCATCCTAGCATCAGGACTCCCAGTCTAAAGGCATCAGGACACAGGGACAGCCCACACTGCCTTCTCATTGTTTTCCCAAAAGGCTGGCCACAAGAAGTGGTGTTTGATTCCCTACATGTACACATATTCATTCATTCAAAACTAGTCATTGTGCACCTAATTATGTGCACCAAAGCACCAGTGGAAGAGGGACAGTCACAACGGTTGCTGACAAGGGGAAGTCAACACTGGAAAAGAGTTCACAAGAATGTGTGGAAGTTGGAGTGCAGGAGGTTCTTGGAGCATTTCCCAGTGGCTCCTACCCCAACTTCCCCAAAGAAGTCACCGTGCAGTGGAAACTTTAAAGGAGAAACAGCTGGGTGTGGTGGTATATGTCTGTAATCCCAGCATTTCAGGAGGTAGAGGCAAAAGTTTTGCCTGAGCACAGGGGTTCGAGACCTGCCTGGGTAACTTGGTGAGACCTCATCTCTTACAATAAATTCAAAAATTAGCTGAGCATAATGGCGCTCACCTATAGTTCCAACTACTTGGAAGACCGAGGTGGAAGAATCGCCTGAGTCCAGCAGGTTGAGGTTACTGGAGAAACAGAATTGGTTGGAGTCAGGCCAAAGGAAGTATCTGCAAAGGTCTGGACATGTGTTTGAGAAATGGCAAGCGCTTGAGCTAATCAGGACTTGGGAGTTAAGAGGAGGCGAGAAGAGGCAGTTGAGCAGGTCTTCCTGGAAGAAGACAGGGCAGGAAGCGTGGAGAAGGGAAAGAAAGAAAGGAACAAATGGGAGAGGTGTTTAGAAGATGGACGAGACAAGGCTTGAAAACTGATTGGATGTGAGGAAAAAGGAGAGGACCGAAAGATGATTTTTGGCAAATTATCTAACAGTGCTAGAAACTTCTGACCAATTCCAGCCAGTTCTTGCCAATTTTGTAATCCCATCTAGTCCTAGCTACAGTACCTGATATCAAATAAAACACAGAGGTAGAGTAAATATAATGGGTATCCCAAGTTGGATCTGGGAACAACAAAAAAAGAGAAAACCCTGAAGAGAATCTGTTTTCATTAATAATATTGTACTCATGTTTATTTCTTAGTCTTGTAAGATGTTGACATTAGGGGAAACTGTATAAAGGATACACAGGGACTCACCACACCATCTTTGCAACGATCTATGTTTAAGTGTATTCCAAAATTCCAAAAAGTTTACTTTTAAAAAGTAAAGGAAAATAAACAGAGGTAGAGGATAAAAAGGGCAGAAACTTCCAGATCAGACAATATGGTGAATTAGAGTACACGAACCCTTCCCACTGTCACCATGTGGGAGGGAGCCCAGGGGCCAGAAACTAAGAGAGAGAAGAATAAAGTAGTGGCACATCCCTCCTGAGCCCTGGATGGCATCAGCCTCGGTAATGCAGAGGCGGGTTTTAACACTTGCACAGAGGCCAGAGGCAGTGTGGCTCTAGTCTGCAATTCCACACTTTGGGAGATCAATGCAGGAGGATCGCTTGAGGCCAGGAGTTCAAGACCAGCCTGAGCAACATAGTGAGACGTTGTCTCTGTAAAACATTAAAACATTAGCTGGGTATGGTGGCAAACCTGTAGTTCCAGCTACTTGGGAGGCTGAGATGGGAAGATCACTTGAGCCCAGGAGATCAAGGTTGCAGTGAGCTATGATCGCATCACTGCATGACAGAGCGAGACCTTGTCTCGAAGCAGACAAACAAAAAGCCACACAAGGGTAGCAGGTGAAGTCAGAGTCATCTGAAGCAGGGACTTGAGACTGGAATCCCTCCTTAGAGCAGAAGCTCATGCAGAGTTCTGCCTTCAGTGGAAGGAAGACCAGAGGAAAGAATCCTCCTACTATCAGAGAGAGATGGCAAAGAAGTTTGCTTCATCCTAAACTCAGAGAGAAAAGTGCTAGACTTCCCTTGTGAAGTGTTCTTTGACCCATGTCGTTACTTTTAAACACAATGTTAAAACAATGTCTTCAGTGCTTTTGAGTCATGGATTTATAATAGTAATACATTTTAACCCTAAAAATAGAGAAATAACCCAAACCATACTTGTAGTTAGTTGTGTGGGCTGAGTCTTAATTTTTGTTAAAGAAAATACAGATAGGCTAAGAAATGTAGATGTTTGCTGTGATGTTTTGTGTTGCTTCACTATGGGATTATTTTACATTTTTGGAGTCCCGCCTTCCATCTAGGGCAAGATTTCTCAACCTAGGCACCACTGACATTTTGTGTTGGATCATTCTTTGTTGCAGGGAGTTATTCATTGTTGGATGTTTAGCAGCATCCCTGGCCTCTGCCCACTAGATGCCAGTAGCATCCCCTTCTGCCCAGTGGTGACAACCAAATATATATCCAGGTACTGTTCAATGTCTCCAGGAGGGGCAAAAATCATCCCTCACTCCTCAAGGGTGACCAACCAGTTTGCTGGCAACTGTAGGGATGCCTGGAATGTGAGACTTCTGGTTTCAAAACTGGGATCGTCCTGGGCACCCTGGGATGTGTTGGTCACCATACTTCCATCTCTAATGTGAGTATCTCAGATGCCAAGTAATCTTGGGGTGGAGAAAGCGGTTTAGTCCCTGCAAATACTGTACTCTGGAATCATTGCAGCAGCTTCTGGACCAATTTAAGCCTAGTTCTCGCTGACAAGAATCTTTGGTTGCAAGTGCTGAGTGGAAAGAAGATGAGAATGATGTGCTGCTTTTCATCTATGCTAAGAAGAATCTTCTGCAAAAGTAGTCCCTAGGGAGTGACCCTGTTGAGCCTCTCTGTGCAGTAGGCAGTGCCCACAAGTCCCCACAAAGAGCTCAGCCATACCCAGTGTTACTAGGGGTCCTTCAACCCTCTCAGCCAATGCCACTTTAAGGCATTGAGGTGACGTCCACCTAAACCAATGCTCTCCATTGAGAAAGGAGGGGCCTGAGACTCAGAGAGGGGTGGGAACAGGCCAAGATACTGTGCCCACTTGTCTCCCTAAGCAGAATTCTTTCCCTTGGCCATGGACAAGAGTGTTAAGAGCACATTCTGAATCTACTTGCTCCAGTTTGGATACTGGTGTGTATTGAAAGATGGTTGTCTAGGATTGACCAGGAAGGGTGGAATTAGCCAGGATTGATCAGCACAGGGGTGGGGGAGACAGTTGCTCTGGTTAAATGGGAAAGTCCATATCTCTGCCCAGCCCTGGGAAACATGGCCTGGAACCTGCCTGCCTAGCATAACTCTCCAGGTTAAAGCAACTGTCCCTTTCTTTCCCCAGAAAAATGTACAGAGACACACACATGCCCACACACACTTTTGATTTTGCGTTTGATTTCAGGTGATTCACTGGAGCCCTGAAATTCATCAACCCCAGTTATAAAACCCTGAATTAATTGTCAAAAATCATACTATTACACAATCCATATATGTTAAGTACTTGGCAAATTTACTTGTCCCAATTCCTGGTCCGGCAACCCTATGAAGTAGGGACTATAAAGGCGTTAACCATTCTTAGCCCTGCTGATTTCCCATGATGATGCATCATGTGGATTTTGTACGCAAAGACTTTGGAGTCAAGAGGACTGGGTTCAAATCCCTACTCTACCACTTACATGCAAGATGACCTTGGGAAAGTCACTTAATCTGTTTGAGCCTCAGTTTCCCTGTATGTGCTTGGCACATCATAAGTGCTTGATGATGTATACTATATTTTTCCACAAGCTCAGCCAGCCACTATAGTGGCTTAAAAGCAAATATTCCACAAAAGGGTGGCCTTCACCCATCCTTGGGTGGGTATCTGCAAAAGGAACCCCAGAGATCAGCTAGTTTGACAGTTGAGAAGGGAAAGACTGTACTAGCATCTCATGGAGGATCAGGCACAGAGCTGGGACTAGGACCCAGGTTTCCCAACCCACCTCTAACAAACCACAGTCTGTCCTCATGGATGAGCCACCCAACCTAATTTGAGGAAGGTTCTTGGCATGCCTGCTGCCCCCTGCCAGTCATCCTGATTCGTGGTTTCCAAAGAAAGCATCTCCTAAGAAGCCTTCAGAGGGACTGAGACTTGAGAGGTCTTTATTGTCTCAAACCTGGGTGTTTTAATTCGTTCCTTTTCAGAATTAAGAACAAATCCTGAACCCCAGGAGTCCGGCAGGCAGAGGATATAAATAGTCTTGGCTATAGCTTGTCAATAAACACGTGGGCAAGTGTGCACCCTCACCAGATAGCCGAGAATTGCAAATCGAAACAAGAGACCATTTTTTGCTTATAAAATTTGCAGATCACTGTGGAAGTGATAACACTCAGTGCTGACAAGGGCGGAGTGTGATGAGCACTCTCAGACATTACTGTGGGAGTATAAATTGCTTTCAGGAGGCAATTTAGCAAATTGTATCAAAGCCTTAAAAATCTCTGCTTAGAAAATCATCAGAAATACCGAAAAAAGCTTTATGCACAAAGCTGTCCATCTCAGTATTATTTGTGATAGTTTAAAAAATCAGGAAACAATCTAATTATCCCAAAATAAGAGAATGATTAAATAAATTCTAGGAGGTCCACCCAGTAGAGGATTCAAGAGTTATTTAAAACAATGTTTACAGAAATGTATAATGACACTGGAGACAGGTTTATACTCTTTTAACTTTTAGAAATCAGAATACTGACTGGCATAAGAGCACTACGTAATCACAGTTGCATCTTTAAAAATCACTGTGTACAAATGTGATAAGAGAAAACAAATATTGCAAAGTATTAATATTTCTCACATGTTCTATGATGTGCATGTATTGCTTTTACTGTTTGGTAAAATTTAGGTACGTGTGTGTTTCTTGGACCTCTAGCACAGAATTGTATTGATCATAATGGGACACGTTTTGCTTTCATTCTTGAAAATATGTACTAAGTTATGGAAACAATGTCAGCATTGCCAACCTTCCCAGTCCATTTCCTCTCTGTCCCCAGCCCTGCCAGAGTTGCCCCAGGTTTCCCTGTGCCCGCTGTTCTGGATGGAGTTCAAAGGCCACTGCTATCGTTTCTTCCCTCTCAATAAGACCTGGGCTGAGGCTGACCTCTACTGTTCTGAGTTCTCTGTGGGCAGGAAGTCCGCCAAGCTGGCCTCCATCCACAGGTGAGTAGGATATCCAGTCCTCCATAGTCCAACTAAGCACCCTGTTAGGAAGGGAGTGGAGAACGGCATTTCTCTTTGGTAACGGAAGCTACATTTTTTTCAAATTTCAATAGCTTTGGGGGTACAAGTGGCTTTTGGTTGCAGGGATGAATTGTATTGTGATGAAGTCTGTGCTTGTAATGTACCCATCGCCCCACTAGTGCACATGGTACCCAACAGGGAATTTCCCATCCCTTGTTCCCCTCCTAACCTCCCTCCTTCTGAGTCTCCAGTGTTCATTATGCCATTCTCTATGCCTTTGCAGACCCACAGCTTAGCTCCTACTTAAAAACGAGAACACGGACTATTTGGTTTTCCATTTCTGAGTTACTTCACTTAAGATAATGGCCGCCGATTCCATCCAAGTTGCTGCAAAAGATGCTATTTAATTATTTGTTATGGCTGAATAGTATTCCACAGTGTGTGTGTGTGTGACATTTTCTTATTCACTCATCAGTGACGGGCACTTAGTATCAGGGAAATACACATTAAAACCACAACATAATGTGGGAATAACACACGGACATTTATTTGCTACATGTTTCGTGTCCAGCATCACATTAAATCTCCCTCAAACCATATCACACAGGTCTCCTCATTCTACAGATAAGAAGCCTGAGACTCTGAAAAGGCATACTTACTCAACTTGCTCAAAGTTATACCACCATGAAGTGGGAAAACTGGGTTTTGAACCTGTGTAGGTGGATTCCATGGCCTCTCTCGCAAGGCTTCCCTCCACATCCTGTGTCTCTGAAGCCCCAGCCACACTGACTGTCTTGAGGTTCTTCAGTCTGGGCCAGCCCTTTTACTCCTCCATACCTTTGCACACTCTGTTCCCCCTGCTAGGAATTTCCATCCCTATTTTCTTGCCCATGTAAACATCTCCTCAACCACCAAAGCAGCTTTGACAGCATCTCTTTACCGAAGTCAGCTCCCGACTCCCTGGCACTCTAATCATCCTTATTACCCAGCTCTCCTACTTGTTTTCACATCTGACTTCCCTGCTGGTTTGTGAATTCTTCAGGAGGTGGAATATGTTCCATTGGCACCCAAGCTACAAATTACAATCTTGCCTCTGTTCCTCAAGAATCTCAGAGACTAAGTTGAAAGTGCAGTTTGTTGTCTCTTTTTTTAAATGTGTAGAGTAACTGAGTTTTGTTAAGAATTAAGAAGGGAGGCCAAGCACAGTGGCTCATGCCTATAATTCCAACATTTTGGGAGGCTGAGGTGAGAGGATTACTGGAGCCCAGTTCAAAACCCAGCCTGGGCAATGTAGAGACATTGTCTCCACAAAAAATCAAAAAAGTAGCTGAGCATAGTGACACATGCCTATAGTCCCAGTTACTCAGGAGGCTGAAGCAGGAGGATCACCTGAGCCCAGGAGGTCAAGGGCTTGTGATTGTGCCACTGCACTCCAGCCTGGGCAACAGTGAGATACTGACTCAGAGAGAGAGAGAGAGAAAGAGAGAGAGAGAGAGAGAGAGAGAGAGAGAGGAGAAAAGGGGTCCTTTATCTTAGTTTCTAAATGAGTCTTGAATCCATGCATTTATTCCTCTAACAGATATAGTGAACACCCACTCTATTCTTAGTGGGACTGAGCAATACACAAAGATGGTCAGGGTCCAACCAGGAACCACTACAGGTACTTAAAATAGAGACTTTAGTACAGTTCATACACAAGCATTACAAACTCAGAACTTGCTGGAGGGTGGAGAGGCAAAATAGAGACACACCATATCAGGAGCCAATTCCATGCCTCAGCTGGAGGGCAGGCCAGTCCTATGGGAGCTGGAGCCATTGAGGGGAGGCAGCCCCTGCAGAGACCCCCAAGCAGAGAGGGAAATAAATACCCTGGTTTCTCCCTCCTTCCCATCCTCTAATGGCTTAGCTGTGCCTCCCATCAGCTGGAAGCTGACATGAAGACCTGGGGAAAACATCCTTCTGGGTCAAACTCCCAGCACAGCACAGGACTGGTGCTTATGAAGACGAATGCGATAAACTCTCAAGGAATTCCCAGCCTAGAGGAAAATGCCATATATGTAATAAAAAGCTAACATAGAAGTGATTCCAAACCAAGGTTTTGCTTTGGCCAGCCCTTATGGTTCTTACAACCTAGACCCTGGTTAACCGTGCATTAGAAGGATGCCAGTGAATCAAGGGTTTCCAGCAAACCTTGTCCCAGTTCCAGTTCTCTTCTGACACAAATTCATCTTTCTCCTCTTGTAACAATTCCTGGTATCTGTCTTTCCCTCACACCAACATTCTCCCCCTTTTCTCTCTTACAATTTGTTTCCCTGCTTTGACATATAATACTTCCCAGAAAATACATAGAAAAGATAAATCTGAGCAATGTTTTCACCTGTTATAAATGGGTTCAGTTCTCATAAAGCTAAGCAATAGGGTAAAATTTCTGATTTCACCTTGTCTTTGAGGTACAATGCAATTCGATGTAGCATTTTCTCCATGCTTTTCCATCTTGTTATTTTCCTTCATAATTAAGCACACAATCAGCCTATGTGCATGGAACATCTGATTGAAGCTTAAGAGTCTCATGCTTTCAGCTTACCTAATAATTTCCATCTTTGTTTCAAGCAATGGTTGAATAGAATTAAGGTCATTTGATCTCTACTTCTTATTACTTGCAGCAGCACCTTGGGCCTTTCTGTTTTCCTGTTATTTTGATCAGATATGGGGAAAATGGAATAAAATATTCAAACAATTGTCCCAACAGGTGCCGTAAAACAAAGATGATGGTCGTGCTGGAATGACTAGACTGTGCTCTACCCATGACCACTCAGAATGCATGTTCAGCAGTAGATAGGAAAGACCATGATGGAGCCATTTGAGGTTGTCATTGCTCACCCAGCTGGGTAGAGCCAAAGTCAATGATCATTGGACTGAAGAATGCTTTGTCCCTAGAAATCTTACCACTTTCATTTTGGACAGAACAAGCGCTCACAGAGTGCCAACATTGAATACAGCCTGGCATTGGCGTGGGAGAAGATGCCAAACAGAAATGAGATGTGATGGCTATCCCTATGTCCTTGTGGCTATTTGGGGAGACTAGACTTTGAAAATGAAGAACTGGACCAAGCAGCCAGCCGCTGGGACATGGGGAGTAGAACAGGGACTTTGGGCAGTCAAGGGTTGGATAGAGGATGATCATGGAAGCATGATCATGAAAGCATTTCCTGGAAGAATTGGTCCAGGATCAGGTTCTCGAAGGATAGGGAAGCTTGAGGGATGAGGACAGCAGATGTTCCAAATGAAGACAATCAATATGGGCATTGATTAAAGGCATTAGAGTCAGGCAGTTCTAGATTCTAGTCCCAGCTCTATCACTTCTACCTGGTGGTCTTGACCAAGCCATATAAACTCTCCAAGCCAAAGAGCCCTCAACTGGGAAACAGCAATAATCACGGTGACCTTTTAAGGTTGTGAGGTCTTAAAGGTGATAAGGCAGCTGAAGTTCTTATCCAGTGCTTAGATAACTCAGTGCTCAATAATAGAAGCTGTTATTATTCTATTCGTTGTAATTCTAAAATTCTGCCTTAAGGAGGTCAGCTTTTTCCTAGCATTTTCATCAGGTCATTTTTCTGAGGACAAGTCAGCCTTGCCTCACCCTCTCTCCTTTCTTCCTTTCCATTTTCTCCAAGAGTATTTGTTAAGTAACTTCCTGGATGTGACTGCTTGGAGCACTGTGTTGAGAAGGGTTCTGAGTGCAAGAATTCTAAATGCTGCTAATCTGCAATGAATTAGCAATGTCTTCACAAATACAACATCAAGAAGTGTAAATATGTGTGCTTTGATTTGCTACCAATGCCTCAAGTGAAAGGAAATCTAATGGGGGCATTTTAGACAAGATGGCAGCCATCAGAGAGCAGTCATCTGGAGGAAGCTAATGGGAGCAGATAAACCCTTGGGGCAATGTGACGGGTACCTCAACATAGACCTGTTTTGAAGTGAGTTATGTATCCAATGTTAGATCTTGGGCCAGTTATTATTATTTTACAATAACATATTTGGCCTCCTTAAGTTCACCTTTTGGTGGTTTGTGGAATCAATAATGGGAAGCCTTTGTTCAATGGATCTGTCCATTAGGCCCATGACAATTTGTGTGACATGTGCCTGTCATTTGTCCATTTACACCCACATCCCTTCCCCACCCACCTAACCTCTTCACATGGCCTTTTGCAGGCTCACTGACATCAGAGTCTTGGGTGGGCAATTATCCTGGTCTTCCTTCAGGGTTTCCAGTGTAGCAGCTACAAGTCTCGCACCCATACACAAACGAAAGGAAGCAGTGGTGAAAACTGGAGCCTTCTCTATACACCTCCCTCCTTTCATCATGGAGGGAACTATTTCTAAGATGTCCCCTAAAGATGTTCCCTTATATCAAACTGGTCACACTTGGCCTTGTGGCCAATATTAGCTGCAAAGAAAGTTGGGAAAATAGAATTTGTTTTTCCTAGGTTATAATGTAGGCAATGGGTAAGGGATTAGGAGCAGCTGTGGGATAGACAATCAGTAGTATCTGCCCAAGCATTGATATGTTTGGTGCAAGAATTAAATGGGTTTATGCATGTGAAACACTAAGCATAGTACCTAGCATGTAATCAGGGCTCAAGAAACATTTTAGTGATATGATGAACATCTCTATATGTCTGTTGTCTGTCATCTATCTATCTGCCCAAACATCCTTCCATCCATCCATTCATCCTCTACTCATCTACCTCCCCACCCCATTCATCTATTCCTTCATTCATCGATTCACTGATCCATCTCTATGTTTTTGTTGGTTTTCGGCAGTGGACTGTCACCAGAGTCCTCCACTGTTTTATTTTGTTGGATGAATTATGCCCCCCACCAAAAAGATACCAATACCTTCTAAGGACTGTGGGCTGTTGACTGCAGGGCATAGTTTTGCTGAATGGGCTATGTGATTTCAAGCCTAGAGCTGAATTTCCCAGGAAAATAGAGATTTTGGAGATAGTATGTGAAAAAATATTAGGAGAGAGAAAAATGTATTAGGACTGGTCATGTAAGGGGGGCCTTTGAGAGAGAACAGAATTGGCTAGTGGAGATTTTCATTGAGTTATTTGATACAAGCAATGCAATGTAAATTCCTTTCATTGTCTCCTTCATGATATTGTCTGTGTAATCTACTTCTTTCACTAGTGATTTTGAGATGGATTTAAATGTTTAGGGATGAATAGTGGAGTCCTGTTTTGAGCTAACATAGGTCAAATCCAAAGGTGCCCAAGTCTGGAGATGGCAACATATGGACAACCTAATTAAAAATGAAAGGAGGATTACATTGTATCCTTTTTTTACTCTGGTCAGGGAAGGTTAACAGAGATTGCTTTCCATTTTCAACCCTATCCTGTGAAAAGAGACAGTGAGGAACATGCTACAATATTTCTTACATTTGCAGCTGGGAAGAGAATGTCTTTGTATATGACCTGGTGAACAGCTGTGTTCCTGGCATCCCAGCTGACATCTGGACAGGCCTCCATGATCACAGACAGGTGAGGAAGCAGGGGTCATCAGGCTGCTTTGAAAGTCCTAATCACAATTCCATCTGGTTAACAAACCTTTCACATCGGTGCTAGGTCATGGCTATGCACACAGCACACAGAGAGGAACCAGACACCACATGCCACAGCTGGAATAGGACACATGTGTGAAAGATGTCTGATGGTGTCCCCTAAGTAATGGGAACATACAGCAGGGTCAGAGAAGGCCTCTGCCTTGGGTTCTCCAAAGAACAGACACCCAGGTGTGCAAGAGAATTTTGAAGGGAAATATCTGTGAAAGAGAAAGGAGGCAGGAGACACAAGTAGGCAGGGAAGGCCTTCAGACAGTGATGGGGTTTGAGGCTGTTGAAGGGAGAGTGGGGAGGAAGGACTGGCTAAGAAGAGCCTCAGGTCATGGCACAGTTCTGAGAAGGTCTTGGCCAAGCCAATGGGGAGTCCCCAAACAAAGGATGCCCAGGACAGGAATCCCACATTGGGCAAGAACGGGCCTGCACTGGTACTCCTGACATGCTGTCACTGATGGGAACAGCCTGGAGGAGGCATAGTCTGCCTGGGAAAGTAATGATGGCTCCAAAGGGGCAGACACATGTCCTCAGCATGAACAAGGAGGTGAGTCCAAGGTAGCAGGAGCGCTGGAGCACTGTCAATCCTGCTCCCTGCAATTGAGACTTCCACAGGTGATCTGAGTGGTGCCTTTCCATGGCTGCCTCAGCCTCTGTGGGTAAGAAACATGGAAGCTAATGTTTGATGGATAAATAGGAGTCGGCAGCAGTAGAGCATTTCAGGTAGAGGGAACAGCATGAGCCAAGGTCCTGAGGTAGGGGAGATCATGGTACATTCAAGAAAGTCAACAAAGACCATTGTGGCTGGAGTGCAGAGTGAGGTGGGGTGGATGGAATAACGGCAGAGAATAAAGTTGTAGAGGTGGTTTGGGCCAGATCTCAGACCCTGCAATATCACAAACTTCACCTGGAGATTTGGTTCCCAAATTTTTCCTGAGCAAGCGTCATACTAAGTCCTTCTTTTGCCTGTATGTTTCTTGCCCTGCCACTTACTGGTTGGTAGGTGACTTTAGGCAATTTTTAATTTTATTTCATTTTATTTATTTATTTTAAAGAGACCGAGTCTCACTGTGTTGTCCAGATTGGTCTTGAACTCCTGAACTCAAGCGGTCCTTCTACTTGAGTCTCCCAAGAAGCCAGGATTACAGGTGTGCATCACCACACCCAGTTTAGGCAATTTTTAAAAATTTTATTGAGTCTTAGTTTCTCTGTCTGTAAAATGGGGATGAAAATAATAGTGATTTGTTATTTTAAAAATAAATGAGGTAATATATGTAAAGGGCCTAACGTGGTGCTTGGCACAATATAAGAGCTCACTAAGCACAATGCAAGTTGCTCTTAAGGTAGCAGAAGTAACTGCATGGCCAGACCCAACATCAATATTTTCAAAATCAATAGAATTCATCTGGCAAGAACCTAATAGACATTGTAATTTTTAAAATGCTAAAATTTCCATTTATAACAGCAACTTTAAAGTTGGAGCATAACCACATTTAATCAGAGTTTAAGGAATTTGTATTACAAGACCTACTGATGATAATATCAATACAGGAAAGGGGCTTGTCTGTTTCTTTCCTTTGCAGCATCAGGCACCTGCACTACGCACTGTGCTAAATCCTTCACATGCTCCAATTTGCTCAGCCCTCATAGCAACTCTCCAAAGGAGATGTCAACTCCGTTGTATGGGTGTGGAAATTGAGGCCCAGAAAGGTCAAATAACTTGCTCAGGTTGCAGAGCCAGGGGGTGGGTGGAGATAGGGGCTCTCGCTCGGAAGTAGCATGCTGTTCCCGTTCAATGGCATGGGCTCCATACGCATCAGTGCTTTGGGGACACTTTCCTAAAGACTCAAATAAGTGGAGAAATGTTTTTTGTTCCCGGATGTTGTTGCAAAGATGTAGGTCTTTCCACAGTTAGCTTTCACATTTATCGCAACACCAATCAAATTCCCAACAGGACTTTTTTTTTGCAAGTGGACAGAGGAGTTTCAGTTTCTACATCAACAAGAAAAACGCAGATTATTTAGACAAAAAGAAAAGAGCTGAAGAATGACTCCCACCCACTGGCTAACTATAGCCATTAGCATCTTGGGTACTGGAGTCAGGTATACCTGGGCTTGAATCCCAGCACTAATGCTTATTAACTGTGTGATTTGGGGTAGATTAAGTCTCAGTTTTCTCATCTGTAAAATGGGAGTGGTGATACCTGTTTGGCAGGATGGTGAGAATAATATGAGTAAAGTGCCTGGCATGGCCCATAATAAGCTCTTAACAAGTGGCAGCTAGTAACAGTAGCAGTGACAGCAGTGGTATCCGATTAGCAGCAGTAATATCAGATAGCAGTAGAATCAGTGAGATCTTCTGTGCAGAGGCGTTAGATATGGAGGTGCTAGAATGTTACCCCTGAGCTGCAGCTTGCTCAGATGCCTGATCTTCCTCTGCTTGGTTTGTTGTCTTGTCTCTGGGTGGAATCCCCCGCCCCCAGGAAGGGCAGTTTGAATGGACTGACGGCTCATCCTACGACTACAGCTACTGGGATGGGAGTCAGCCAGACGACGGCATCCATGCGGACCCAGAGGAGGAGGACTGCGTGCAGATATGGTACCGGCCCACCAGCGGTGGGTACTCCTGAGACCAGGGCTCTTGCAGGGGTACGCCACGGGTGCGAGGAGGTGCGGAGGCGCTGTGGATAGCCAGAGACTGGCAACAGGTTCAGCACCACGGAGAGCAATCGAAATCGCTGTGGTGTTCGGGGCATGGCCGTTCTCTACAGTGGATGTTTTAAATAATATTTAAAAGTGTATTGTTGGCACATAGACTCTGGCTTGGATGTAAATACGTTAGAGATAGAAACATGAAGAAAAGAAAAGCCTTGTACAGAGAGTAGTCAAGGGGTAGTGCTTCTGTGTCAGCTTAATTGCACCAAAGCACAAGCTCCCACCACAAAATATTAGAACCTGAATATTAGAACCAGGCTACACCTGGGGAAGCGTGCAGGTGTAAGTAGTAAAAAGAGTGTAGACCTGAGTTCAAATTCTGGCCCTGCTGCTTTCTAGCTCTGCAGGGAATGTTTTCCTTCTCTGAGATTCTGTTTCCTTTTCTGCAAAATGGGCTTAATAATTGTTCCTTCTACGGGGATGTTATGGGGCTTATAGGAAGTGCAATTGACCTACCACTGTGGCAAGAGCATGGACTCTGGAGTTGACTGCCCTTGTCAGAACCCCATCTCCACTCCTTATTAATTGTATTGCCCGAGGTGAGTGCCTTAACCTCTCGGTGCCTCTGATTCTGCATCTTAAAAATGGGGCTAATGATGCTTAGCTCACAGGGTTGACAAAAAAGAAGTGAACAAAAAAGAAGGTAATTTATGTTATGTGACTGCCATGCTTAGTGCTTAGTGTGTGTATTATCAAGTAACAGTCTCATTGTTAACAACATCATTACTCCTCATACCAATCTTAAGAAACAGAAACAACCAATATTCCCATTTTGCAGATTAGGAAACTGAGGCTCAGAGAAGTCGAGCAATTTGTCCAAGGTCACACGGCAAGCAAATAATGGAGCTGGATTTCAAACCTAGGTCTACAGAACTCCAGACCCAAGTGTTTAACTGCTATTCCCTCTTCGCTCTGTTTTCTTTTCCTAATTAGAGGAGGGAGGTATGGAACAGCTTATTGTCCTGGGAGCCATCCTGGTGCCTGGTAGCCAGAGTTGGGCCAAGTTTCCGGATGAAGTTTGTGCTCTTATCCATGGTGACAAGTCAAGATCAACCTTATGAGAGAGTAGGCTTGTCAAGTATCAGCAAAGAAAGGCTGCCAGTAGACGGGAAGGCTACTGAAGAGGGCTTTTACTCCAGTGGAGTGGTAAGGCTACTTTTATTGTGGTGGATGGATCTTCACCCAGATTCTCTGCTTCTTTCCATCACAGCTCTGAGGTCGTGGAATGACAACACCTGCAGCCAGAAGTTCCCCTTTGTCTGCAAGGTCCCATCCCTAACCAGTCATTGATGCAGTCTTGCCTCCTGGAGTGAGCTCGCCTCTAGCATCCACTTGTAGCTGTACCTAGTGTAGACCTGACACTGAATAAATGTAAAACACACATGGGAAGGAAATCTCTCAGACAGAGATTTTAAATAAGCAAATCTTAATTATACAGGGTGGTCACTTGGCCCAGTGACAGGAAGCCCAACTTAAGTTGGCCTAATTAGTTTTAAAAGGAGGTACAGGGTAGATCTCTTGACCCAAGTAACAAATATTCAGGGGCTATTCTGGATTCAGAGTTGAATGTCATTAGCCTGGTCACATCCTTAAAGCAATCATTCAGCATATGCTGAGTGGCTAGGCCTTAGCCACACATCCTTGGGGCAGGATAGAGGTGGGAGTCAAAATCATCTGAGGGGCTAGGTGTCGGGAAAATGGGAAGATGGTCAAAGGGTACAAACTTTCAGATGAGTAAGTTCTGGAAACCCAACGTACAGCATGATGACTATTGTTAATCATATTATATTGTATATTTGAAATTTGCTAAGACAGTAGACATAACTATTTTCACCAAAAACACCGGTAAATATGTGAGGTGATGAATAGGTTAATTACCTCAAATGTGGTAATCATTTCATGATTATATACATATATCAAAACATCACATTGTACATTTTAAATATATACAATATTTATCAACCTTACCACCATAAAATAAATAAATAAAACTATAAATGTGTGTAGGTGTGTGTGTGTATAAATACATACATACCACATGGGCCCAAAGAAGAGGTTTGCTCTCCAAAAGAAAACAGAAATATTACCAGAATCATAAATTTCTGATGAAAATGTAAAACAGTAAAGTCACTGTGGAAAACAGTTTTCCTCAAAAAGTTAAACATAGAATTACCATCTGACCCAGCAATTCCACATCTAAGTTTATACTCAGGAGAACTAAAAACAGGTATTCAAACATAAGTGGCCATAGCAGCATTATTGATGATAGCAAGCATGAAACAACCCAAATATCCATTAACAGATGAATAGATAAATATGGTGTGTGCACACAATGGAATATGATTTAGGCATCTAGAGGAATGAAATACTGATATAGACTAAAACCTGAATGGACCTGGAAAGCATTATACTGCCAGCCACAAAAGACTGCATATTGTGTGATTCCATATATAAGAAATGTCCAATTACAGTGGCTCAACCTGTAATCCCAGCACTTTGGGAGGCTGAGGCGAGTGGATTGCCTGAGCCTGTGGGTTCGAGACCAGCCCAGGCAACTTGGCGAGACCTCTTCTCTACAATAAATAAAAAATTAGCCAGGTGTGGGAGTTGAAGACAATTAGTAGTTCCAGCTACTTAGAAGGCAGAGGCAGAAGAATTGCTGGAGCCTTGCAGGTTGATGCTGGAGTGGCCATGAGCATGCCACTGCCCTCCAGCCTGGGCAACGGAGTGAGACTTCAACTCAAAATAAATAAATAAATAAAAAGAAAGAAAGAAAGAAAGAAATGTCCAGAACAGGCAAATCTATGGAGACAGAAAATAGTTTAGTGGTTGCCAGGGCATGTGTGGAGGGGAAATAGGATGCTGATGGGTATGGGGTTTCTTTGGGGGGAGAGTGACAAAAGTGTTCTGCAATTAGATAATGGCAATGGTTGCAAAACATTGTGAATGTCAAAGAAGTCACTGAATTGTACCTTTTTTAATGGTTAAGATGATGAATTTTACCTCAACTTTAAAAAATGTTATTAGAAGAAAGAATGCATGCCAGGCAGGGAAAACAATAAATATTTATGACTAGAAAGAGACTTGAACAGGGAAGCAGGAGACCTGGGTTCCATTTCTGATTCTCTGAGCATTATTTCTGCTTTGATATGAACTGGGGTGGGGGACTTAAAATCTGGGCCTTCAGTACCAGTAAGAAGGCAGAGGAAGAATAAAATACACACAAAAAAAAAAAAAGAGAGAGAGAGACACACAATTGACATTTGGTAATGTATGCTGCGTCTCAGATTTTGCAAGAGAATCCTTCTGAAAAGGATGTTAAAATGGGACTTTCCTATTGCTTCAGAATTGGTTTTGGGGCCGACAATCGAAAACATCAGGTACTAATTACCTCTCATTCTCAAGAGCAATGAACAAATGAGGCCAGTCAACTACCCTTAGAGCACACATAATGGCTTGCAGAACTGGCTTCGCTGCAGTCAACCACATGAGTGGGAGAAGGCACAGGCTGGGAGCCTTGGCCTTGTGGGGAACATAGTGTCAACAATGAAAAGAGTTTTCACCTTCCCTTCCCATGGAAGTGGAAGGGATGACTTCTCTCCACTTCCAATGTCAAGTGAACAGAACTCCAAAAATTGCTTATAGAGGCAGGAGTTCCTGTGAGAAAGGTGGGCTGGCTTCTCACTCCCCAGGAGAATGCTGGCTATGCTGTTAAAACTGTTCCTCCCCAGTTCACCACTAGAAAAGAACTTCTAGTGGGAGTCAGAGACTTCTCAAGAATGCTTAATGCATTTATCTTTGGGAGTCCAGGGGTCTAAGGAGGGAAAATTTCCCTCTAGCCTTTTATGTTCCTTTCTGGGGACCTGTGAATTAAACTGACAAGTGATAGATTAACAGAAGAAAAGGCATTCAAATTTTATTGATAGTTTTACATGCACAGGAGCATAACAGGAAAGAAGTAAAAACCCAAAGCAGTAGTTAGACTTGGGAACTTACAAGAAAGGGTGATAAATTGTGGAGAAGTAACTAGACAAAGGAAAAGTTGGGAGGGTTGGATTTCTACAAGTAGCAAATTGTGGGGAAAAGACAGGGAAATGGATGGTAGATCAGTGTTGTTTAGAAGGGTTGTTATACAGACACAAGTCATTTCCAGAGTCATTCATCCTTTCTTGGTATGGGAGAAAGGCATACCTTTACAAATGGACATCTATGTCACACTTACAAAGGGAAATGTATGCTCTTGTTTTGGGCAAATGTGGGGGACAAGGCAGAGAGCACTTCCTGTTTCTACCATTTCTTTCTTTTTCTTTCTTTTTGAGTCAAGGTCTCACTCTGTCACCCAAGATGGAGGGCAGTGGCATGACCACAGCTCTCTACAACCTCAACCTTCTGGGTTCAAGTGATCCTTCTGCTTCAGCTTTCCTGGCATGCACCACCACACCTGACAAGTTTGGTGTTGTTTGCTTGTTTTAATTTTTGTACAGACTATGTCTTGCTATGTTGCCTAGGCTGGGCTGTTTCTGCCATTTCTTAATTGTCTTCAACTCAAAATAATCTTTATGCCAAAGTGCATACTTTAGAATAGTATATGTTGATCCTTTATAGGGACATTCATGAACAGATTCTGATGATTACTGGGATCCCAAGTTAGGAAACTTCCTGGAGTTATCCAAAGCAGAGAGAAGAAAGAGAACAGTAGTGAGTGGTCCTGGAAAGAAAAGAATGACCACATGGGCTTGGGATGTTTCAGAAGAGGGCTGTAGTGTTCCCCTGGTCCCATGGGAAGAATCACAGAGGTTAGAGCAGCTACGCTGTGCCTCAGCTGCCCCATCTGTAGAATGAGCACAGTAAGCATCTATGTCATTGAGGTCAGAGTTCAATAAAATAATGTATGAGGAGGTTTTGAACAATGTCTTCACATAGAGTTATGTAAATTCAGTGTTATTATTGTATTGGTTGGCAATTGCCACGAAACACCATGTCATCACCAGCCCTCCAAAACTCCATGGCTTAAAACAATCATCATGTATTATAACACATGCATGGGTCAGTTGGGGTTTGACTGCTCATCTATGCTGGGCTCCACTGGGCAGCTCCATGTCTCACTGCAGATCTCAAGGACAGTTAGAGTGGCTCTGCTTCATTTTCTTTGGATGAGTGGGCTAACTGGGGCTTGCCCTTCTCATGGCAGAGGCACAGGGGGACAATCAGAAACAGGAGAGGCCTCTCAAGGTCCAGGCTCAGAACCGGTCAGTTCTGCCCATGTGCCACTGACTGAAATAGTCACATGGCTAAACCCAAAGCCAAGAGGTGGGGGCGGGGAGAAGGGGGCGAACACACTTGCTCACTGAGGTCATAGCAAGAGTGTAGATGCAGGGGTGAAGAATCAAGACTAATCATTCCATGTTACACAATTGTCAGAGAAAGGCAGAGAATACAGGGCTGCCCATGTGGCCATTGTGCCAGTTGATATCAAGGCCAGACAGGATTGGAGGGACCAATGACCAGTAGAGGCCCAGAGAGACCACACTGCCAGTCTCTAAGGGGGGGTCTTCCATGATGGAGGAGGTCTGGGTGAAATGGAACACTTCTTGAGAATAGCACATACACCATCTACTGGAAACCAACTCATCAGAGGTCACCATTGAATCCAGATGAAGTTGAAGGGAGGCCAGGAACTTCTGCACCACTTGCAGGAGATGAGCTCTGTAGGAAGACATCTGCCTTCTCCAGTCCCCTTTCTAGCTTGCAGCCAGAGAAAGTGGTCTTAATAAAGGAAGGAAGGGCTGGGGTCCCAGGACCAGACCATATTCCCTAGCCCACTCCACTCAAAGGAGCCAGAGAGGCGAAGAGAAGAAAGAGAAAGTTAGGCCCCATCTATCCTGGGTCCCTGGAGCTGCATATTGCCTGGCTTATGCTAAAGACAAAAGGAAAGATGAAATATATAAACCCCTGAGTTTGGAGTTTTAGACAGGACGGTTCTGCCCTTTTTACAACTGAACATCACCAGAAAGCTGTGGAATTGTCCCAAGACAGGGAGATGTGCTGGACATGGTTGAAAGCAAACACTTTTTGGGGAAGCCCCTGTTTACAACACACTGGGTTAGATGACTCCACATAGAACACTTGGAAAGGTTGCAAAAGACCTTCTGTGCAAAAAGGGGGTGAGGTTTCATCAAAAAGCAGTTGTTGTAGAGTCACAAAAATTAAATTCAAGTCTAAACTCTACCACCCCCCAATGATGCGACCTCAGGCAAATCACTTCACCTCTGAGACCCTCCGTCTCCTTA